ATTGAAGCAGCTCAGACGAAATTACAAGAAGCTTCGCATTTTAACCTAATTATCAAATGCGAACCACAAAATTTTCATTCCAGATGCGAACACAGTTTAGTTCTTGAACTCTAAACTTGCGAAATAAAAAATTCATATGTTGAACCCATATGTGAATATTAACCCAATTGACTTCAAATTGATTCACAGATGCAAACAGTCGATTGTTTTACTTTCGCAAAATGAGCATCAACAACTCCACAATCGAGTTTTTAAATTCTTGCAAACAACAATTTCACAGTCCTTGACTTTGCGTTTTTCTTCACAAATCATCCCTTAATCATCAATCCAATTGCGAATCAAAACTCATATGTTCTTGCTTTATCGATTCATCGACTACACTCATACAAATGCGAACAATACTTAATTTCAAAATCGATTGAAACTACTGGTCCCAAAAAACTTACTATTAAAAAAAATAAAAATAAGAACAACATCCGATACTACGTAAACAACTCTCTAACAATTCCACCACGTGCTCCTCTCACTCATTGCTTACATTCGAGAAGTAGCAGATGTTATTGAAGCAGCTCAGACGAAATTACAAGAAGCTTCGCATTTTAACCTAATTAATCAAATGCGAACCACAAAATTTTCATTCCAGATGCGAACACAGTTTAGTTCTTGAACTCTAAACTTGCGAAATCAAAAATTCATATGTTGAACCCATATGCGAATATTAACCCAATTGACTTCAAATTGATTCCCATTGACAATTTCCACATAAATATTTATCATCATTTAAATGCAACACAGCGCCAAAGGCGCACACTTGATTCCTGCTAGTTCGTATAAAAACATTCAGAATCACGATGTAAATAATGAGGGGTATGAAAACATTGATGGTCTAGATCTAATGGACTTATTTCCGTTTTTATAAACATATGCATAACCAGATTTTATATCCAATATATTTGAAACCGTTATTGCTTATTATTATTGTATTTGAGAATCACTTCTTCACAACTATTTTCCAAAATACTAAGGTAAGTTCATCCGTTTCCAATGCATTCAGTTTCCAAAATGCATGTGAAGTTATATATGATTTACTTATTAAATGCAGGATTTTTTGTTAACATGCCTTTTAATAGAGTGAGTTACATTTTCAATTTTAGTCCCTAAAGGAATTGGATTGCAATTTTAGTTCTTATTTTGGAGTTTTCCTTATGATTTTGGTCCCTGCTACAAAAGAAATGACCATATTGTTATAACATTGTACTTTTGGGGTTTTTTCTTATTTACACATCGTGCCTTCAAATATCAATCCAAGTATGGCTTTGTACTTTTAAATCATGGGCAAACTATTTTCATCCATGGTATGTTGTACTTGGTAGAATTGCAAGCTATAAATATATAAATAAACAATCAATACGTCTGTATGTTTTGCATTTGTCCTATTTAGCTAGGCATCAAGTGAATATATGACATTATGGTTTTGAGATGCACATACATTTGTTTACCCCCAAAAAAAATATAAGAATGAATACGTTTCATAATTAGTCATTAAATTCGTAAAATCAAATTAAATAAAAAAAAATCTTCAAAGTCATAGCTCACGTTTGAAAATCTTTACATTTTAATATTCAAAAGTTGAAAAGGTAATGATAACTATATACTCTCTTTTTTCCTTTGCCGTTAAGTTTTTTTATTATTAATTATTTTATAAAAACATATGTTTGAGTTTGTGTATGTTTGAAGCCGATTTTTTGAAAACACATGATCGTTTAATTCATTTTATTTAATGAAAAATAAAAATAATTTATATGTTTAAAAGGTTTGTAACCGATCATCTCCTTTATAATATAAACATGGTCAAAACTATGTTGTTAATATTTTTTGTGACAATAAACATGGATATAGCTATCTTATAAAAATTATGAACAAATGTTTTCATTTATTTATAATACGAGAGGGTTACATAACATATAAATACTTTAATTATTTATACCTTATTATAGATACTTAATCATATTCTAATAAGTCTTATATAATATTTTAATAATAACATTCTAACATAAAATATAAAATGTAAAACATAATTTTATTGTATATAAAGTGATATTTTACATGTTATATAATGTTAAATAAAAAAATTATTATAAATAAGAAATAACATCTTTAAAAAAAAGATTTTACATGGTTTTGTCTTCTTTTAAATAAAAAGTGAAAGTAGAATGCTAAAATGCTAAAATGCACAAGAAATGAAATCACAATGCTATTTCCTATTTTTAAAATAATATAATTTTTCTATAAATAGAAGTACAATGCTATTAATAGAAATTGAAGTACAGTGTTCTTATCTAAATTATTTTAATATATCAACCATGTAGAACACGGGTTATAACCTAGTATATATATATATATATATATATATATATATATATATATATATATATATATATATATATATATTGGTATGCATGTATCCATATGCAAATACAAAAGAAGCTCCATCAAATATTGATAAAATGGGTTGTTTTATGGTGATGTACGTAATGAATCATTAATATACTTATTCAGTGGAAAACAAAAGCAAGTAACTAAAAAGTATAAGGATTTTACCCGAAAAGAAATCTAGTCAAGACTTCACTCCTAAAAAGACTTTGTGACACAAATATAATTCCGAGAACACCTATTCCAATTCCAATGATAACAATAATTGACACTTCGACAGGAGATCTCGTTTTGTCTACTATATGAAAAGTAAACAGATCTACACAAATTGAAGAGTTCTCCCCACTCCATGGCATAATTTATATGTGTCAAGCCTATCCAAACACTTCAAAAATATGTGGGTATGAATATAATGATCTGAAAAGAAACAGCTTCATGGGTACTTGTTGTCAACAACATGTGTATTATGGAAGCGATATCGCAGTCCGAGTTTGCTAGAAAAAATAGAAGCAATTTGGGTAAATGAAGCTACACACTGGTTGGGTTTTTTAAAGAGATTGAAATGAAAAATCGAAAATGGGGATGTACTCTGGGTAAATGAAGATAAATAAATGGTGGGTTTTGCAAGATTTGAAAATTAGAGGCTTTAATCAACTTCTTTTCTCTGTTTATTTTGGAGTGTCTTCTTTTTCTTATAAAACTTTATAGAGCTAGAGATTGTTGTGTGTAGTCCGGTAACAAAAAGGGCGTGTTAACTTTATAGTTGAATAGTACATACATGCGAAATCAATTTTATTGGTGGATGTACTCTAGGCACCAACCAATTGTAGAGATGAATCCTTTCTTTTGAACTTCTTATTTCAATTTCTATTTTGGACTTTGGATTTGTATATACCTGTTAAATTTTTTAGTAAACTTTTTATTTAGCCTAAAGTCATGCTCTCTCTTGAAATGTATATGTGGATGTTTTCTAATTTCTTTCCTTTTCAATCCAAAAGACGTTCTTGTATCTTAGAAATATTTATTTATATTTTGATCTTAGGATTAAATAAGCATTTCATTACATATATGTATTATACAATAGAGACCATGGATGCTAGAAGTAACAATTTACAACAATTTCACCCATTTTAGTTTTTGTTTTCCTAGAAAAATATACGAAATTTAAACCATTTTACACTTTGTTTTCCGTCTAGTTGTTTAAATAAGGCGTTGCGAAGATGAATAATGTTTACAAAATATTTAAGAAAATAATAACAGATGGGGAATGTAACAAAAACGTAAATAAGACAAATTTCTAATAATAAAAAAAAAACATAGTACTTAATTAGAAAAAACCAAGTTTTCTTAACTGTTTCCGTTAATCATGTTCTTCTCTGAACAAATTATTTTTTAAATAAAAAATAAGAAACTAACAAAAACTAGACCTATTATGCTATTCTCAATATATATATATATATATATATATATATATATATATATATATATATATATATATATATATATATATATATATATATATATATAATACTAGAGAGTAACATAACATATTATTTACTTCGGAAGATATTTTGACCCTTTAAAACTAAATCTGTCTTATATAATATTATCTTCACTCTAAAAACACACATAGTGAGTTTTTAGCATGATTTTTTCCATTCAAACCACATGCTAAACAGATATCATATCAAAAGGAATATTTATTTAATATTAAGTTTTTAAATTTAAAATTTTGAAAAATTCCTTAATAAATGACTTTAGCTAAGAATTTGCTTTTTACATCACAAAGAAAATGTTCTTTTACCAAACAATTTCACAAATCTTTTTTTTTTTTTTTTTTTTTTTTTGCAAATTTTACTAAAATGTTTGTAGGTGTGGTACAAAAAGCCCCCTCCCCAATAGATTAAAGGTTCAAATCTAGTTGTGAACACATGAATAGATATAAGAGTAGGATTAGTGCTTGTTAGCCATTCTAAAAAAAATAGTTTCAAATTATAAAAAAAGTGTTGCAAAATAAGGGCCATCTTGTAGTTATTAATCTTTTCTAATATCCTATGCAATATAGTAGTTATTGGAAACTTCTTGATTACATTTTTACAACAATATATTTTGTGTAAATTAACTTTTATACTTTATGTTAAATATGTAACAATATATGTATTTATAAAACAAAGTTTAGTATTATAGCTTCTCCATCAGTACCAACCTTTCAAAACATAAAAACCTTGCAAAATGCCATATGAAACCATGTCAACATAAACTATAAATTTATCTTCTTGCTTATTATTACATTTTAATTATATCATTTATTAATTAAATAAGTTTATTACTATATAAGTATGTTATATATTATAATTTATTTAGGTTATATTTATTAATATTTTAACAAACTTCTATATTATTAAACAAATCAATAGATAAAATAAAGAGGGGGGATTTTTTTTTTTTTCGTTTCACATTTCCTGTCGCATAAATAATAAGAAAATTCTCATTGCAAACATAATTAAAAAAAAATGTCACTTGAAAACATTAATATTCATCAACTCTAGAAAACTTTAAATAATAATTTTCACTATTAATCTAACCATATATCATCATAACAATAATACAAGGTTACACCATTTGGTTGCCAAACACCCAAAGCCTTTTTTAATGCTCTAAGTATGTTTAAAAACAACTCTTATTACCAAAACAACTAATGTAATATCATCATCTACTTGCCATATTTCCTTTCTCTTTTAATCAATTAAACCTTGCTATAAAACTAGTTCTAAAATGTTAAATAATAATGAAGATTTTAATATGTTATGGTAGATTTGGACCCCATAAATCGGTAGCACTCACCTCCGGGTTTGGCCCAAACCAATAATCATCCTCAATCTGCAACCAACAACCCACATAGTATCAGAATCACAAATATTTAAAAAACTTTTTTTTATAAGAGGATTCCAAGGGCATTTATGTCTTTTGCACATACAAACGATCGAGAACATGTCCTTATCCCACCTTTTTTTTAAGGGACAAATTCATATTTTTGTCTATTTGACATCAAAGACAGTACAACCTGTTTTGTCCTAGACAAACTTTGTAGGGCTATTCTTTTTTATTAGGAGGAGGGCATTTTCGTCATTTGCATTGTCAACCTTTCTAGGTAGGACAAAAAAATTACAATTTTTGTCCCAACTTTTTCTAAGGCTATTTTGTACAACTTGTTTTCTCTTAGACAAACTTTCTAGGGCTATTTTTGATGAGGATGAGAAGGGCATTTACGTCTTTTATACAGACAAGAGATTGATATGATAGCAAGTCCTTGTCCCACCTTTTTCAAGTGAGACAAAAACTTACAACTTTTGTCCCACTGACATCAATCTCATTCCCAGTTTAACTTATTCTTTTCTGTTCTATCATGTCATGTCATATCATAAGAAACTTACATCATTTTGAGGTGGGATTATCTTTTGAATTCCATATGAAGGGGAGTCAACCGAGTTGACTTTGACTGAATCTAAATGCGTTTGCAACTCTCTACTATTTTTGTTGATGTGGCTCCCACCTTCTTGAGTAGATTCTTTAAATGATTCACTAAAACAAAACATACATGTTGCAATGAACACGAGAAATAATAGGAAATAAAACTCATCTTTATATATTAAAATTTCTTTTTTACTTAATCTGGACATAATGAATTAATGTGTTTTAAATAGTATCATTTATGAGAAGCAAAGGAAAGTACCTTATGAGATACAGATCAATGGGAGCTGTATGACTTCTGATAATAAGTTTAAATTGCTTTTGAGAGAAACCATAATCCTGCACTTTCAACATTTTTTTTATATCTTAATAAAGTCATTATGATAAAATAAAAAGATAAATGAAAGTAATAACATTGTAGTAATTTCTTATTAGGACATTTTACTTTGAAAAATCTACTGATTTAAAGTAAAATTTTGTAAAAGAAAGTATGATAGGATAATAAATTAATTAATTAATTAAAGTACATTGCTATTTCTTGCATTTAACAATAAAAAAATATTAAAAAAAAAAATTCATGTTTCATTTGCAATACTCACCTGATCAGGATCAGGAACTTCAATAGAACTACCATGTGGTGCTCTTACTGCTATTAAAGTCTCATTCTGTCAAAAATAAATATAAATATAAATATAAATAAATAATCAAAGAACAGGATTTAATATAAAAAAATGATGGGAATAAAAAAAATATGAAATCTTTGAAACCAGTCAAACCTCAAAACATGGAAGATTCCTAAAATCTTCTCCTCTTAAGTAAAGATGCCTAAAAGAATCAAGAAAAATGTCAGTGATATCATATCAGAGTTATTAACTTTTTTTTAAATATTTTATTGGACAAATTATGAAAATGTAAATACAAAAGAAAAAACAGAAAAGCACTTGTACTTTCACAATTAGATCTATTTAGCCACTTAACTATTTTCTATAGTGACTAAACTATTATCTTTTGCCTGAAAAAGACCTTGAATTTTTTTCATTTTTCCAATTTGGCCCTTTTAGTCATTTTTTTTCCAAAAGTAATGTAAAATGTGAGGGTTTTTTTCGAGAAAAACTTAAAAAGTTGAGGGTTTATTTGGAAGCATTTAGAAGGTTGAGGGGTTTTTTGGAAAAAAAAATACAAAGTTGAGGGCTTTTTCGGAAAAAATGAAAAAATACGTCTCTTTCAGGCAAAAAAAATAAAGCTGAGGTTTAATCTGGAAAAAAACACAAAATATAAAATCTTTTATGAGATTAACCCAATAAAGTATAAGTGGCTAAATCAATAAAATGGTGAAATTACATTGTGCTTTTGTATTTTTTTCATTCTTTCAAGGATATTAAATAGTTAAATCAGTCAAATTATATATATATATATATATATATATATATATATATATATATATATATATATATATATATATATAGTATCATAAGAGTTATTATATGTGAAAAAACAACATACTTTCGAGTATTATGATCAAATTCCATAGAGTTGAGGCGTTGTTGTGTTTCCCTTATACACTCATCAAGTCTTGATTCTTCAGCATTTAGATGTTGAAGCTCAGCCTGTCATAGAAAGGAATGGAATCACTCATTCCATTGGAATCACAAAATTAACTTTTTCTTTTGTCTGATGGAATGGAATGGACAATTCTAAAAGGAATTTGTTACTTTTGATCCCTTAAACACATTGGAATGAATGAATGATTACAATTTACAATATAACCCATTTCATTAATGTAATTTTTAACAACACAAATTCTTTTTATAAAATTTTCACAATTATTATACATATTAAAACCGATTGGCTTAGGAATAGTATAGTTTTTGTATTTCACACTTTTGCCACAAGAGTTTCTTATTTCAGATTTTGACCACAAGACTTTTCTATTTCCAATTTTGGCCACAAGACTTTCCTATGTTGGCAGGTTTTGTCTCTACACTTTCAAAATGTTGGCACTTTACACTCCTACTTTGTACAATGGCACTTTCTACCCCTCTACTTTGTAAAATATCACTTTCACCCCCCTCAAATTTGGACAACAACATTTTCCACCCAGTTACCTTTAGTATATTGGCAGATTTCCAAGTTTGTAAAATATGATTCTTTTTTCCACCTTTTGTAATTAAATTACAATTTTATTTTCCAATGTTAAACTATTATTATGGGTTTTAATGAGCTATTATTATGTTTCCTTATTTATTTTCATAAATAAAAAAAATCATAAATTATAATTAAACAATATATAGAGTAGAGTTATTCCATTCTATCCAATCAAACAAATCTTTAAATTTTGCATAAAGCCTTTCATTTCTTTTTTTTTTTTCTTTCATAGTGCACAAACCTTATAAAAATAATAAATACGCACACCTGTTACAAAAAGATGAATTATTTTATACATACCTTTAATCTTTTAACATGTTTATCCAAATTTTGTGGTGACAACGTCTTACTTTTCCTGCTAATAATAATAAGTACATGTGTTAGAAAATGAAAATATATGCACAAAATTTATAATATATAAAAAGAATAAACTTACTTCCAACGTATGTGATTCTTTGAAGCCTTTTCTACTAATCCTATCCCTTCAAGAACATTTGTAATATCATAAATTCTCCTCTTTTGGACCTACCAAATAAGTAATATATATATATATATATATATATATATATATATATATATATATATATATACACCAATGATTAAGTGAACATTTATGCAATAATGTTTCACCTTTTGTCAATTTTTATGCAACAAAGTGGTTTTTATATTAAATATGCTATAAAGTTTCATTTTAGGACCAAATGATGCAATTTTTTGAAATGTTTTTTTTTTTTTTTTTGCAAATATCAAAAAACACTTGTACATTTGTCATTTTATCGATTTAGCAATTTAACTGAAATTTGTAGTGTGATTAAATCATTATACTTTATCTGATTGTTTAAAAAGACATTTTTCCTGGTTTGAGAAATGGTAATAATTAATAAATAAATAAAAAATCACAAAATACTTTCACTTTTTTATTGATTGAGCCACTAAACTATTACTTATCTATGATAATTATGATAATAATAGTTCAGTGGCTAAATAAATCAATAAAAGGACAATGGCTTAAATGTTTAATCACAACAGAAAATCAATAAAATGATGAAAACATTTATGAAGGACAATGTATATCAGATAATACTTCTAATATAACTGCAGCTTTGTTTAGATCAAGAATTCCATCCTTGTCAGCATGTATCAAATTAACAAACTTCTTTGTGAGGAGTCCTGTTAACAATTTAATAAACTTTTTCATTAAAAAAAAAAATTGGAAATCATAGCATGCATATTTAAGGATGTTTGGTTTGCAGAATATGAATGAAATTCAGTTTTGTGGATAATTAATTTCTAGAATCTTTACATACAGGGGTATTTTGGTCTTTTAACAAAAATGGAAGGAATGAAAACTCCATAAGGGATGGTGATTCTGATGTAACTGAATTTTGTCCATTTGGAAACCAAACATGTCATATAACGGAATCTTGAATTCCAATTCTGAAAGATTATATTTTTATTGACATATCTAGGGGTATTTTGGTCTTTTAACAAATAAGAGAAGGAATGGAATTGAAGTCCTTCCAAACTTTATATTGTGAATTCCATGAATGATGGAACTAGAAGGATTCGGGTGGAAATAAATTTTGTCCAATTAACAACAAAACACATCATGGAATGGAATCTTGAATTCCAATTAAAATACTGATTTGAGTAAGCTTACCAAGAGAACTATCATAACGACAAGCAGCAACTAGATTTTCTCCAGAGTCTGTAATAAAAAGAGAGTTTAATCGACTTTCACAATAAAATTACAAAAAAAACAACATTTACAAATGAAAAAAAAAAAAAAAAAAAAAAAAAAGATGTATTTGTATTACCAGCATTTGGTTCTTGATTTCCAGGCTTAAAAGCTTTTAATTTCTTGTTTCTCTTGACAACACCACAAGGCAATGATCCAAATGAAGGACAATCTACTTCTTCAGGAATTGTATTTGTATTAATTGCTTCACTTTTGATGGTTTGTTTTGGCTGTTTTATAAAATAGAAAAAAAAAAAATTGAAATTACCATATGGATTTGACTTCTTGATGTAGTTGATATTTCATGATGATGATGATGATGATGACATTAATGATATTGAATATTATGATTGTGTAAATAATTTACTAAAACTAACAAGGAGCAAGTTCATATCCCACCTTTTTGGGTGAGACAAAATTACAATTTTGTCCCACCCAAAACACAAGAAAACTTATTACAAGACTATCTATTTTGTCATGTATAGTGTAACAAACACATCCTAAATGACCAATGGGGTTAAACCCAACAACAAAATAAAACCCTAATCCTAATAAGTTTACTTCTTAGATTAGTTTTGTAGCTTTATTAGGTTCTTCAATGAGAGATAGACACTTCAAGAGGAATGAATGTTCATATGAGGACTCACGCTTTGACCTTAAAAGTCAAACATATATCAAAGCGGCATCTTTCCACAATGAACGCAACTAAAAGTACTTTTAATCCGAACATTATGTTGAAAACATGAAAACCAAATAAATATCAAAGCGACAAAACTGTAAACAAGTTAACTCATTGGTCAAATAAGCAATCCGAAAAACATTCAATGTGTAAAACTTAGATTCTACGAAATAAACAGCAATTTTTAATCCTCCAAATCAGACAAAGCAACGAAAAAACTTCAAATTAGTAAGCGAATAAAGGGGAGAAAGTGAGGGACAATGAATTAACTTACTGAAATCAAGAACATGGGCAAATTTTGAGTAGCAATAGGAGGATTGCAAAAAGAAATTTGTTGTATTCTGGATAGAGGGTTTTGAACTGACAAGTTGACGTCATCAGCACCGGCAGCAACCGACATTGACATCGCCACCACCACCACCACCGCCGGAGCTGACTGGTGTTTGATTCCTGTTGTCTGTTGGCGTTGAAATATAATATAGAAAAAGGACAGGAGTAGAAACAAATAGGGTGGACGTGGTGGTGATGTGTTGATGAAACAGCGGGAAGGTTTAAGGCAGGCGGGACTTTGGAGTTCGAATGCGTAGAAGAAGAAAACCCACCAACGCTACGCTCCACTTCTTCTCTTCTGCTTCTGTTTTTTTCTCCAAAGTTAGGCCTGGCCCAATTAGATGGTGTGTAATCATGATTCATGTTTTGATTTTTTTTTTTTTTTAAATTGGATAAGGATAAGAATAAATTTACATGTTTTTGTTAAATTATATATAATTTTGTAACTTTTTTGTTATCTTTTTTCGATAATTTGTATAATTTTCAAATGATATAGTGTTAAGTTATATAATAGCTTTGATTTCTATTAATCTTTATAGTTATATTTTAGTTTATTGTTGAGATTTATCAATTTATGTTTGCATAAGTTTGTACGTAATTTATTTTGTTACGTAAATTAGTAAAAAGTCGATGAAAATATGTTAAATAAATTGTTAAGATCAACTTGGTTATATAAACAAATAGTTATCATTTTTTTATTTTTTTTATGAAAGAATTATTCATTAAAATGATCATAATAAATGGTGGTATATCGTTATAGAACCAATTTGTTTCAGATTTTAACAAAGTAACATAGAAACCACAAATGCATGCTCCCGGAAGCAAAGTAGATAAAGCTTCGCAATACATTTAAGATAATTATAATATTGGTTTATGTGGTATTCAAAAAACTATACATAGAATCCAAAAAGTTTCTTAAATGGAATGTCCAAAATCAAAACATTTATGTGATTTTGGTTATGTCTTTTTTATTTTCTTTTTCGTATTTCTTAAATCTATATCAATACATTGACAATTTAAAAATAAAAATAAAAAAATAAAAAAAGATATTAATGTACCCCCACCCGTAACTTCTCTCTCTCCATTTTAACCTACAAAATATTTTTTGGATCTATCCAAAGTTTTTTTTTAAATACCACAGGAACAAATTTTATAGTTTTGTCTACATTTAAGTCATTTGTGAGGGAAGCTTTTAAATCATTTATGTATATTTTCTTCTTTACAATACAATCGTTAGGAATGATGTCGTATAGGAAATTCGTTATCTGTTTGCAAGCCATGGTTGTTATTAAGGTAGGAGGTGATATAAAATGTACTAAAGGGCCATTATGATTCTACGAGATAGCCACACAATACTCTAATTATCAATCAATAATTGTTTAAAAGTAGTTCATATATTTCATAAAGCTTGGAAATCTAATTTCAGTATACTTGCGTCTTCTTCTAGTGTTTCAACGACTTCAATGGGACTCAATCAACTTCATACATGTGGTGTTGAGTCGTATACCATGCATATATATCATCGTTTTCCTTATTTCAACCCTGATCTCATGAGGACTATGAGAAGGTATTGGAAAATTTTCCAATGTTGCAAAAATAAGATGTTGATCTCATTAATTTGTCCATATTGTTTTGCAAGTCATTTGTATGGTATACCCTTATATATCCGACCACATGCTTAATATCACAATATTTGCTCATGTTGTTAGACAACTCGTTTCTAACGCAACTATGTCACTATAAGAATAATAGGTAATAGCAGCGACACTTTTAGAAGCGACGGACACTTTTAGCGGCAACATCAAACAAACGCGTTTTTTGTCGCCGCTAAAAGTGTTTGTCGCCGCTAAAGGCTTATGTTGATGATCCGCGTCATTTCAACCATAACCGTCGATTTAGGTGATGATCCAACGACTAGGAGGACGTAGAAAACTCCGCGTTGTTTTTCCTCCGGTTTATCGCCGCTAAAGGCTATCCGTTGCCGCTAAAGGCATCGCCGCTATTGCCTGTTCTAACGATCCGCATCATTTCAACCTCATCTGTCGATTTAAGCGATGATCCAACGACGTAGGAAACCCCGGATTGTTTTCCCTTCGATGTGTCGCCGCTAAAGAGCGTCGACAATAAAATCAGCTTCGTCTTCACTTTCTTCCCTGATCTTCTGTTTCTCCTCTCTTCTCTCTGCTCACCACCGTCGATCTCATCTGGATTTCACCGAATTCTTCGATATTTCACCCCTCTTCCTCTCCATATTTTTCCCATTTTCTTTTCCTTTTCTCTTCTCCCTACTAAATTTGTGTTGGTTGTCGGAATTTTGAGATCCCCCATCGTTCTCGCCGGAGTTTACCGCCACCACCACTGTTCATGATGAAAATTTGATAAATTTGATATTTTAGATGTGTATTTGTATGTGTATTTTGTGTTTGTAGATGTGGATATGTATTGGTATTTGCATTTGTATGTATATGTGTATATTGAGTGTATTTTATGTATGTATATGTGTTTTCTATGATCATTTATATGTATATGTGTACTTTGTATGTGAATTATGTATGTGTATGTGTTTTTGTATGTATATGTGTATTTGTATGTATCAAAATACATATAAATAGTGCCGACACCTTTAGTGGCGACAGATAATATTAGCAGCGACGCGCTTTTAGCGGCGACTCACTTTTAGCGGCGACTAGTAGAACATTAGCGATGAACCAACAGCAACGACCTTTTAGCGGCGACATATTTGACCTTTACCGGCCATGGGGGACTTTGAGGGGAGGGGGGCAAAGTGGGTAGCAGGGCCCAATTTTTTTCCATTATATATTTTTATTTAAAAATTAAAATTTATAATAAAGATAATGGTCTTTTTCTTCTTATTCGTCCTGGGCTTTTAAAAATATTTAATTTTTCAGACCGGTCTTGTTAGCGGCGACTCCGTCACCGCTAATACTCGAATTTCTTGTAGTGTGTAGACATATCCGACGACAAAATAGACTCTTCCATGTCTTCTTTTTAAATTCATTAATGTGTTTTGTAATATTATGGGTTGTACTTCATAAGTCTATCATTTAGTACTTTTAAAGAAACATATCGTGGTTTGGACGTTTGGTACTTTTAAGAAACATTATCGTTTGTTAAATTCAAAAAATTCCTATCAGTTGCATATTAGGTTGATTTTTACATATATCATCCCATATTAATAGATAACTTCATTTCAACTACTTCTCTTCATCTATTTTATCATCTTTATTTTCCTATATAATTGAATGGATAATGAATCCACAAAATGGTACTATTATAGTAATTCTGTGTAACACAGGGGTGTGGGCGAATGTTAATTTCGTTTTGGAGTATATGTCAGCACATTTTAAATACAATTTCACTTTCCATTTGCATATGGGTATTGATGCAACGAAGTCTGAGACCAAAATTCAAAATAGTAATATAGTATATAACCTATTATGGGTTGATTAATGCTATGGCCAGAAAATTATGTGTATTGAATAATAACATAGGTTATCATATAAATATATGACGATTAGCATTGTTGCATGCGTAAATGATGATGACACGGTAAACTGATATTTGTTATGTTTATCCATATACAACCATGTTGTATGTTGTCAAGGGGTTCAAAAAGTGACTACTTGAAATCAATCCTAGAGGTTTATATGTGTCATGTGCTTGGCATAGTATTAACCTTACTCTTAGTTATATGACAGTTTCTTGGGTTAAAGGTTTTTTATTGTGTGTGTGTGTGTTGTGCAACACATATATACATTATATTCTAGTTCTAAAGGATGGAAAATGTTATAGATAATGTTCCAATTTTAATTGTATTATCCAATAGTTGAAAAAGTAGGATTAAAATGTCAAAGTTATTAAAGTTCAAGCTCCAATACAATTCGCTCTCTAGAATTAACTAGATCTACTAATAATGATGATCCAAAATCAAAAAGTGAAACCAAAAGTTTAGGCAGTGCTAATGAGAGTTTTGAGTTTTTACTTGGAATAATTATTTTGCATGAAGTTTTAGTTTTTATTTGTCATGATGCCACTATTAAGCACCAATTATAAAATATAATGACTATTTCTATTAATTTTAGAAATGAAGGGTAGTATAAATATCACTAAAGTTATTGCATTTGATATGGACGTTGAGCCTAAACTTACATTAATGCGTCGTGTTATTAGAAAAAGAAAAAAAAAACAATTTGATGAAATTAATCATGAACAAGAAATACAATCACACGAAGAGTATTTTAAGTTTCATTACTTTTGTATTGTTGTGGATACCTCAGTTGATTGTGTAATATTTTCAACTAGTTTTCCTAAAAACATTGTATATGATCGTAGATTCAAATGATTTTTTTTTTAAAGTAAAAGTGTTGTACATGATTTTGCCTAATAATATAAAGGATGCAATTAATATTTTCAAATAGTTGTATTATCTCTAGATAGAAGTTTTTCAAATTGAAGTTACTGAAGAATTACTTAGAATCGTTGATGTCACAAGAAAGGTTAAACAATTTTGCTATTTTTTATATAGAGAAAGATATGGTATACACAATTGATCTTGATAACATTATTAATGATTTTACAATTCAAAAAGCTAGAAGAAGTATTTTTTTTTCTTTAGATTAATGAATGTTTGTAGGTCATATTCGTCTCCTTAATACTACTATTAATTTATATATATATATATATATATATATATATATATATATATATATATATATATATATATATATATATATATATATAGTGACTAAGACGTTTGTTTGAAGTAATTTTCTTTCGGTTATTGGATTATTATAACAAGGCTGACGATATTTATATCTTTGATGAACTTTTTCTTTCCCCTCAGTGAGACTAAAATATATTTGGAAGAGTCTTGTTACTAAACCAAAAATTAAGAGCAACAATGGTTGCAATGGAAACGTCTTTAAAAAAAGATAATTTCATCAACCCAAATAAAATATAATTATTAAACAAAAAAACACACACACGCACACCCCTTAGAAAACTCTTGACATTTTCAAAATCTTTTTCTAATAATTCATTTACAAAAGTTCATTCTAGTGCTTCTTACTATGTAAGTCATTCTCTCCACTACAAATCACCATTTTGTAAAGTCTTAATTGAGATATTACAAAAGTCTTCCTAAGATGGTTTTTGTCATAGTGGGAATAAATCTCTTTTTGGGTTGCTGAGGTTATTTTGACCAAATAATGTTTGTATGATAAACTAATTTTTGTGTGAGAAACTAGTTGAGAGCTAACAAAATAATAACATTTAGTAAAAGATTATTGATAATATAAATGATAATTATTAAATGGGACATTTAAGTATATAATTAAAATAAC